ATTACAGATATATTTGTGAACTTACTCCCAGCTATCACACCAACTCTCAGAAATGAATTTACTGGATTGATATTAATTCCTTGTATTGGAAATCTCCCTGAACATTTTATAGCTATTATTTCAGGAAGAAATAATAAAATGGATCTTGTCATCGAAACTACTGCAGGATCCGTACTTCAACTCTCTTTTCTTGTCTTACCAATAATCGTAATATCTGGATGGATTATGGGATCACCTGTTAGTATGCTTTTTAGTCCATTTATAGCATTTAGTTTAGTAACATCATCTCTTTTATTCAAAATATTCATATTGGATGGTGAATCAAATTTGATAGAAGGGATGATCTTTATCTTATGTTATGTAATAATAAGTATCATAACTTTTAAAATTTAATATAATTTTTTTATTTCTTTTCTTATTTTTTTTTCTATGAATATACTTTACACATATTTAATAAAAAAATTATAAAATTAAAATAAATACGTCAAAATAAAAACTTTTAAAAAAAATAATATATAAATACAATTATAAATATTTTAAATTTCCGTAATTGAATATATTTATATATTTTAATAAAATGAAATCCGCAAAAAAAATAAACTTGAAAAAAAAGAAAATACAAACCAGATCAACATATGAAACTGAATTATATGATTCATTACAAAATATTTTTTTTTACGATATTTTCGATGATGAAACTATAATAAATACCGTAATGTCATACATCGAATCAAACCAAAAAATTATGATAATAACTCAATTCTTGTATATAATGAATTAAAATCTCAATTCGAGATCGATGTTGAAGAAGAAACTTTATGTCGCATGAATTGGAAAAATTCTGATATTAAAAATATTTATGATTTTAGATTAATTCACGAAGAAGTAAAAAAAATAAATTTAAATTATTCTTCGATAATCGCAAAATTTGATACTGAAGATAAGATAAAAAAATACGAAGAATCTGAAGAATTTAAATATATAATCAATCATGAATCTTTACGACAATATAGATTACTATATTAAATATAGTTTATTATGAAGAACTTGAATTAAACGTTCATATAGAAAATAAACCAATATGTAATATGAGTTATCCTAATTCTAAATACTTAAATCTTTCATTACCTCATTTTGGATTAGCATATATTTATCTTACTGATCACATTGAAATACTAACTCGTTACTTGGATAGAATTAATAACACAATCAGAAAAAAAAAGAGGTGATTATGAGCATGAAATAAAATTATTAAAATATCAAATTCAAGAAAAAAATATCTTAATTCAAAAACTATATAAAGATCTATTAAAACTTGATCAAATTTTATTAAATCTTGATATAGAATTTTCAACTCAAGATAATATCAACAATAAATTTAATAAAATTATCGAATATAGTAAATACATAAATATATACAATTCAATAAATAAATAAATTACCAAAAAAAAAATCAGATAAAATATTGATAATAAAATAAATTTAATTTTATGACCTTTATTTATATAATATTTATAACATTTATTTATAATAAAATAAGATCTGGATCATTAAATAAGTTAATAAAATTTTTAATTAAGATATACGGTTGTTTATATCTATTAATCTCTTTTGTCATTTCATCAATTCGTCTTTCCAAATCTTGAATTCTTTTATCTTTATCTGAATCTTTTTCACAAGTATCACATGAATTATTTTCAGTAACTTTTGTTATTTTAAGAACAAAACGACATGATTTACACATAGTAAGACCTTTTAATGATTCAAAATTTTTTCTTATATTATTTATAATATTTTCAATATCTATATTATTAGAAAAATTAAATTTTAAAATCATATTTCTAAATCTATCTGTTTCTTTCTGTTCTTTCGATGTCAAGATCTCTACATTATTATCACTAATATTTTCATTGATATCTTCAGTATCATCATTATCCCAACCTTCTCCATCATTCCATTTATCATTTACTTGAGTTTCTAACGCTTCTGCATATGACATTGATTCTTTACCTTGCATTATCATTACAGTTCTATATACCGCAGTCTGATTTATATTTTGACTTGCTAATCTTGTTCTTCTTGATTGAGTATAATGCTTTATACTAATCCAAATATTTTTATTTGGATTTTGTATATCATAATAAACTTTATAGGCTGCTTGATGAATACTATCACAAAAATCTCCTTCGCCATCAAGATAAATTCCTCTTATATGTTCAATCTCACAAATATAACATTTAACAAGTTTTCTCTGATATTCACTACTTTGATAATATTGAATTCTTCTATCATCATCCTCTTGTAATGATTCACAGAATATTCCATAACAATCTCTACATTTGAAATCTTTATCTATTTCATAAAATCTAAAGATATTATGATATTCACAACAATGATATCGTCTTTCTTTTGACGTTGCTGGTCTTATCGATATCAAGTCATCAAATTTTTTTTTAATTTCATCATAGGAACATCCACATCCAAGTTTTCTATTCCTATCATATCTTCCAAAAATATAATTTTTTTCAAAAAAAAACTTATATTCACATTTTTCTAGATTGTGATCTTCTCCTTTACAAATACGACAAGGTAACGAACAATTCTTACATTTAAAATTATTAATATCTATTTGATAATACTCATAAAAATTTTTACAAGTGCAACAATGATATTCTCTTCCTTTCTTGACAAATTCTTTTTTTTTTAAATCTTCAAGCCTTTCTCGGATTTTATCATAGGAATATCCACATCTAAGGTTTCTATTCCTATCATATCTTCCAAAAATATAATTTTTATCATGCAAATTCTTATATTTACAATTCTCTAAAGTATGATTTTTTATTTTGCAAATACGACATGGCAACATTGGACAAAAAGGCTCTATGTGACCAAATTCTTTACATTTGTCACATTGTGTTTTTAAACAAGATATTGTTAGATGATTGGTTTGTTTCTCGCATTTTTTACAATACATTTTGTTTTTAAAAATCAAAAGAAAAAAATCATATCCTTTTATAAATATTTAATTATTAATTATCAAAAAAAAAAATATTTTTATTCAATTAATTTTTTGAGGAAAATACTGTAACATTTTCTTTTGGTAAAAAATCTTTTAACACTCCACTACATTTAATAATCTGATTTATTTTTTCATCAAAAGGTTCCGTAAATGAAAAATCTATTTTCAAAATAGTTTCAAATTGATTTATCCTTAAACATAAATTATTAATTCCATCTTTTCTATCCTTTCTCACTCTATAAATCATCATATTATCTTTATCTTCATTTTTTCTATTTGTTTCATAAATAATTTTCGACTACCTCTACCAATATCTTTTTCATCATATTCATTATCAGAAAAATAATCTGGTTTGAAATCCAATTGATAAGGTTTTTTATTAAATATTTGTTTCTTTTCTTTTTTCTCTTTATAACTTGGGGTATCTGATCCTTCTTGATAATCAATTTCTTTATATCGAAATCCTTCTTTTCTTGGTCTTTTTCTAATCAAAATTTCTCTTTGCTTTTCTCTAAATGGAATTTCTCTCTGATTCTTAACTAATCTTGTTTTTCTTTCTTTCTTATCTTGTTTCTATTCTCTAACATCTATCGGTTTTTTCAATATCTTTTCATCATATTCTTTTATCAGTATTTGATGTTTATCTTCATTTACTAATATTATTCTTGATAAATACGATATCCAAAATCATAAAGTATTTTTTCAATCTCATAATCAATATCTTTGTAATCATTATCATCTATAATATCTTTGATCTTGATAATAATATCATATTTTGTATCATTAAAAGTTTTCTTATTCTGATCATTGAAATTATTAATTAATTCCACAAATTTTTTCAAACTATTTGTTAACCCCCCTACTCTGTTTTTTTCTATATTGAATTTAATAATTATACGACTAATAATTTCATTAATAATTTCAATTACTCTTTTTTCGGATAAACCTTTTATTATTTTTTTTCTTTTAAATATAAACTTATTTAGTTCTCTCCTCAATACATTTTCTAAAATAGGTTTCTTAATTATTAATTGATATCTATTCACGTTTTGATTTAGGATCTCTTGATAAATGAAATAAGTAAGTACATTAAGCATTGATTCAACTTGATAATCTACATTTTCATTAATATTTTTTTTTAATCCATTCTTAATATTGATTGATACTTTATTTTTCAAATTGTCAATTTCATTTTCTTTTCTTTTGAAATTATTAATCAAATTAATAAAATTACAAAGATCATTTCTTATTTCTTTTTCTTTAGCTTTCTCTATATCATATCCACTAATAAATTCTTTAATAATAAAATTGATCTTTTTATCTGATAACTTTTCCATTGAAAATGTTATTAAAAAAAAATATATTAAATTAAAAACTGTAATTATTTATATAAATATTTTATCAATTAAACAAAAATTCACATGTTAATTTAATCCAAATAAATAAAATTTTTTAAAATATTTAAAAAAAAATTGTAAATTTTTAATTTCTAAATTACGTAATTTTCCTTTTATAGAATTATTATATTTTTATTTTTTCTAGACTATTTGTACCCTAATGACGATGAAAGTGATTGCTTTCAATCTTTGTTGGGATCCTCTCTGCATCTTAAGGGCAAGATCAAGTGGAGAGATGATTGAGATAGCAAATGCTATCGCAGGATTTCACTAAGTATCACTGCGCTCACTTAGTTTCATCCTTTGACGTTTTTCCAATCTCAATCATCTACTTATTGATATTAATATTGTTTACATTAACTATTTATTTACATGTTTTTTTTTCTATAAAAGATTATTTTTTTTCCTTGATTATTTTTTTATCTATCTAAAAATATCAATGGGAGTATTAACTGCAGTAAAAAAAATGAAATCGTTAATCAAGCTATTAATCATTGGACTTTTACTTTTGGTACAAGAAATAGAAATTCTTTAACTGCGAAAAATAGTTTGATATCTTTTGTTTCTTTAATCGATAATTTTAAAAATATCAGTTATTACGGAGATGGATCAATTGATAGTATTAGAAATGTAGCATTAGATAAAGTTCAAACTATATTAACAAATGCTTACAATAAAGGTATTCCTTATTATGCTGAAGGAATACTTCATCAAGTAGCACATCGTACATATCAAGAGATGATTAAAAAAATAAATGAAGATAAGAAAAACGAATACAATTTATTAATGAAACGTTTAACTGAAGAAATGTCAAAATATAATGATACAAAGGAACAATTGGAAAAACAAAAAGAAATAATCTCATTAATGGATAAAAAAATAAACCAGATTTTAGCTAATATGAAGATAGAATTTCCAGAAAGTGAAAGTAGCATGGAAAAATTAAATATTTTATTTAGACATACTATTCATAAATAATAAAAATTTGTCAAAAAATTATCAATGAAATTTTCTTTTTTTACAATTTGAAAAAATTATTATATTAATGAATATCTTTTGATTTATTAAATAAATATTTTTTATTATAAAAATGATTATTATACATAATAAATTATCAAAAAAAAAAAAATATAATTTTTAATTAAATTCAATATTTCTTAATTAATGTGATGCAGGAAAGAGAAGTCTTAATTTTTTTGAGTTCATAAATAAATTACATATTGATTAATATATTACATAATTTTTCTTCATATGTTTGGGATTGATTTTTTTTTCTTCTTTACAACGAATCGAAATTTTGACGATAAAAAAAATAATTTTTTGATTATTCGAATTAAACATCGATTTAAAAAAAATAATACGAGTGATCCTTCGTGAACGATGAAGGATAAATTTTGAAAAGAAAAAAATTTATTTGTTTTTATAATTAATATAATTAATAATACATTACAGATCTTAGCTCATAAATTTTTTTTTGTCATCTATAAATGGAATACAATTTAAACAATGTATTCTTTGATTTTTGATTTTATTGTTTTACCCATAAATAATTTTTCTATATATACATCTACAATTTATTGTTTATTTAATTAAAAATATCTACACAATCTGATTCTGATAATCAAATCGATGAAAACGATATCTTGAGATATTTTATAAAAGATAATAATGAAGTTACCTGTAAAATATGTGAAAAGAAATTGAAACCTTATAGTTTTTTGATTGTTAAAAATCATCTTTCAACTAAACATCGTGATGAATGGTTTAAATTAGAAAATAAAAAAAATAAAAATTCAAATCAGAATAGAGTAAGTAGAGTTACCAATAATAATTACAGAACTGTAGAAGTTTCAGTCAATAATGAAGATAGTGATGAAGAAGATGATGAAATAAAAATCAATCGTTATAATAAAGACAGAAAAGAATATAGTGATAATGATAATAGTGAAGAAGATGATGATGATGATGATGAAAAAGATATAAATTATGTCAATGATGGTTATGACGATGATATAAAATTGAGGTTTACCTGTAGTGATGTTAAAATGTATATGCCTGATGGAAGTCAAGTCACATCTGAAAAAATGATTATTATTTCTACTAATTAATTGTTACTATAAATATACCTTTGAGTGATTAAAATATATAAAAAAATAATGAATGACGAAAAATTAAAATATGTTTCTAAAAGAAAAATTAAAAAAATATTCAATGATATCGATGTGGATAAAAATAATAAAATATCCAAAAGAGAACTTTATAAATATTTGAAAACAAATATTTTGGAATATTTTATCACAAAAGAAAATAAAACAATATGTAAATTATGTAAAAAAAAGATTTCTTCATCTTTCAATGAAATAATCGCTAGGTATCATTTTACAAAAGTACACATCAATGAATTGGAAAATATAGAAAAGGAAATTGAAACCAATAAAAGGGATGGTTCAAATGATATTTTATCAAATATTGAAAATAATATTTATTTTACATATATATGTTACAATGTAGAAATTTTGTTATCTGATGGAATCAAAATTTTATGTGAAAAATTGATTATTGAACCTATTTTAGAATAATTATATTTTTTTATCAAACATATCTTTTTATTTATTCAAACATGTGGAAAAAAAAATTAAAAAAAAATAAAGGTAGAATTCTTTTATTGTCCATATCAAAAAAAATAAAAATCATGAAATTAATAATTTATAAATTCATAAAGATAATTTAAATGATAATGATGAAAAGGAAGATATATCTTCATTATCAGAACACGAAGATGAAGAATCTATTAAAAAAAATCGTACGAACGAAAAAAATATTGATGAAATTTCTGTTTATAATAAAACTGAAACAAGTTAAAAAAATGATATTTTTAAAAATATCATAATTAAAAAAATTGAATTTGAAGGTAACGGTGAAGTTGAAATTGAGTTTGGCCATAGGATAATTAGGATAAATAGAGGCTGTAAATTATATTTGGATACAAATTAATTATTATAACAACATCATTCGAATATTGAAAAATTTATTTTTCATACTAAAATGTTTAAAAATAATACTGCAAAATCACATTATGATCCAAATAAAACTTTCACATACATATGTGATAATAATGTCAAACTATTAATGTCGAATGGTTCTAAAGTTTTATGTGAAAAAATGATTATTGATATTGACGGTGATGATGATAATATTGAAAGTGATATTAATGATGATAAAAACGTGATTGAAACAAAAAAAAATATCAGCGAAAGATCTAGATATCAGTATAAAGATGGTTGACAAAACACAAATCGTCAACAGGGTAGTTCAAAATATTGGAAGGATAATTTTTACTATTGATAAATTAACTTTGTATTAAAATAAAAATATAAATAAATGTATTTTTTATTGAATGTTACTCGTATATAAACTATACAAATAGAATTAAAATCTTGTAATATTGTTTACATTACAACCTAATTTTCAACCTACTTTTCAACCTACACTTCAATCTACGTTTCATATTAATTTCAGGTAATTGAATTTAGATAATAAAATTTAAATTTTTTTTATCTTTACATTAATCCTTTTAAAATATCGAAGAAATGAAGAAAACACACAAAGAAAACCAAATGATTTCAAATACATTTGCTATAACGTTAAATTGATATTATCTGATAAAACTAGAATAATTTCTAAAAAAATCATTATCAGTAAAGAATCAGAAGATGAAAAAAATAAACATCTTATTGAGGATAGATTTTCATTTTGGGACATGAGAAAACATTCAGTAGAAAGATCTAAATGGAAATTTGATAAATTAATTAATAAATCTGAAAGTAAAACCGGTTCTGGTAAAATGAGATTTGCATATGGATACGATTCAAGTTCTTGATTTTTTATTATTATATAATAGTAGATTTATAAAAAAAAATACAAAGAAAATAAAAATTTTATTGTATATTAAATATTTATATCTTATGAAAATAATCATCATGAAGTTTTTTCAATGATTTCTCATAATTATATTCTACTTGTTTTAAATCAATATCACGTTTTAATTCCAGTCTTTTTTTTTCTAATTCATATTCTTGAAAAATATCATTTTCAAATAATCGATTCGAAGTCTTTTTCTTTTTGAAAATCGAATCATCCAAATCAGAAAAAATCGAAAGAAAATCATTTGTTTTTTTATCATGTTTTCTTTTAATTCTCGTATTTGAAGATATTTTTGTTTTTTGGTATTTTCGTGAATTTTCTCTCTATCATTTTTATCTGTGAATACATCAGAAAAATCAATTTCACTTTCATTTTGTATTTTTTTAAATATTTTATTTAATTTATTCAAATCCTTTATCGTAGTTTTCTCTTTACACCACGGGCATCTTTGCCATTCCTTGACAGTTTTGTAAATACAAGGTTTATAGATCATTGTATTACATCTACAGTTTGGTAACGTGAATGGTTCACGAGTATGTTCAAAACATATATTGCAATCGTAATAATCTTCAAATTCATTTTTTTCAACTGATGTTGACATTTTATCATATTGTTTAGTAAATATTCAATAGATATTTTATAGAAAATTTAAATTAATAATAAATTTATTATGAATTAATAATAGTTTATTTATGAAATAATTGATAATATAAAATAAATATATTGAAATAAAATTTGTAATCAATAACGAGTAATAGTAGAATTTACATCTTTTACATCGATATCAAAACTATAAGTCCATACGAGACTAGTGGTGATTCTATCATACAATTTATCATTTCTATAAATATTATATTCTCCAACATTACTAATATCAAAACATTCTTTATCATAGTATTTGACCTTTTTAACAGGTTTTCCATTAAATTCACATCTAAAATCATTTGGAATTTCTTTCATCTCCTCTCCTTTAAAGAGTAAGATAATGAAATCACATTTTCCTCTATTATCATTCATACCAGAATGACCAAAACTATATTCGTCTGGTTCTATTTTCATGAATAATTTTTCCTTATAATAAATATTGTATGTATATGTTTCATTAATCAAAAATGCTTGTTTTCCGTTTGGGAAAGATGCTTTAATCTGTGGTACTTTATTATTATATTCATCCTCATATCTGAAATCGTCAAGACTCATGATTTCATCGTTATTAATGAAAAAAAGATATTTGGAGTATTCATCATATTCTTCGAATTTGTATTCAATAGATCTTGAATCTAACATTTTATTTTGAGACATGTTTATTTTTTTGAAATTATTGATATTTTAAAATCATATTTATATTTATTAAAATTAATAATTAAATTCAAAAAAATACGATTTATTAATAATTAATCTATAAAATATTTTATTTTGATAAAAATAATAAAATTACAGAATATCGATCTTATCGAATTACTAAATATAAGAATTGGTTAAACACTATAAAACTAAATCCATTAATTATTAATTCAATCTTGATATATAATAATAACATTGTTTAATTTTGGTATCATGTCAGAATAATTCATCATGTCTGATAATCATAAAATTTGGAAATATTATACTGTCAATATTGATGATGAATCTCTTAAATGTAATGATTGTGTAAATTATCATTATGCAGCAAATATACTAATTTCAACTTTGAAAAGTCATTATGCGAAGAAACATAAAAATATTTGGGATAAAGAAATTAAGACTCAAAGAAAAGGAAGAATTCATAAGAAAAATAAAAATAAAAAAAAAATCATTGATAGTAAAATTTTAGATTTTCAACAAATTATCAATGAAGAAACTCTTGCTGAAGATGAAGAAGATTTCACAGATATCGAAAATTCTGAAAGTATCATAGAAGATGATAATGTCATTAAATATACTGTGAAAAAAAATTCAGAACCAATTATTTTTCCTTGTGAAACTCCTATTGACAGAATCAGAGTTGAGGGTGATAGAGAATTCACAGCTACTTTTAGACGTAACTCTGTTACAGTTAAAGGAGAACAATGTACAATCTTTTTAAAAAAAGAATAAATATTTTTCTTTATGTTTTCATTATGAAATATGTATTAAAAATAAGAAATATGATTTATGAATAAAAAAAAAAAAGATTTAAGAATTTTAATCAATCAATTGTGAAATAATGACATCAAAAAAATATTTATAATATTTTATATTAATAATTTGTTATTTGTTAATTTTTTTTCTTGTATCTCTCTATATCTTGATATATTTTAATTCCCAATACAAGAATATTGGCTGTAACTAAAATTCCAATGATTATAATTAGTATCATTTTAAATTAATAATTTTATCTTTACTGGTATTTAAATATTTGCTAAATATAATAATATCATTTAATTTTTCTTCATATGATTTTTTATCAACATATTTAATATCTGTAATATGTATAATCTTATCTATTAATATTTTATAAATACTTAATTCTTCTTTTAATAATTTTTCCCGAGTCACATGAATATTTGATATATTTAAATTTTTTTGATTTAATTTTTCTTTTATTCGATTAGTTGAAGCTATTAATTGTTGATTTTTATTTCTTTCTTGGACTAATTGATTATTTAAGGTATTTATCTGAGAATTTAACTAATTATTCTTGTTTTTTTCTTGATTTAATTGATTAGTTAAATTTGATTTTTCTTGATTTAATCTTTCTATTATTAAATTTTGTTGATATGATTGGTGAGCTAGATCATTTGTTTTTCGATTATAACTCTGAACTAATTGTTCTATATTCATGATTTAAATATTTAAAAAATTATTAAATTCGATGATATTGTTTAATTTTTCTTCATACGTTTCATTATCCAGGTATTTAATATCTAAAATTTTTATAATTTCGTCTATCAAGATTTTATAAATATTCAATTTCTCTTCTATTTTTTTTTGATTTAGTGTTTCTTCTTGAATATTAGATTTATTTATATTGTTTTCTTGATTTGTTAATTCTTGATTCTTTACTTTTTCTTGATTTAATTGAGTATTTAAAATATTTATTCGAGGAGTTATTTGATTATTCTTGTTTTTTTCTTGATTTAATTGATTAGTTAAATTTGATTTTTCTCGATTTAATCTTTCTATTAATAATTTTTTTTCATTTACAGCATTATTTATTGTGATATATTGATTTTCAAATTTTCGTAATCTTTGTTGTGGACTATTAAATCTATGATAAGTCATGTTAAATAAAATTTTTAAATTCAAATTCGTGTTTATGTATTTAAAATACTGTTCGTTATATCAATTATTAATTAATTATTTTCTTTTTTTTTAATTATTAATCAATATCAATTATTTAAATTTGTGAATTTATATTTTTTTTTATAAAAATTATATTGTCAAAAATTAAATATTATTTAAATAAAATTATCGTGTATTTATACAAACCTAATATCGAAAATAAAATTAATAAATCCAATATGGAAAAAAATAAAGAAAGAATTAAAAATAATTTAGAGACAGTTATTTATGAATCACATGTTGATTATTGTTTAATAACATATAAAACAAAAATAATAATAATTTATTTCATAAATAAATATTTTTCCATATTCTTATAATAACTTAAAAAAATATCTTGTAAATTATTTGGTATTATTATTATTATATTCTGGAGGTGGTCCAAGAATATTATTTAATGCATCTCTTATTTCATTAATCAAATTATTTTCATTATTTTCTCGTACAATATCAGAAATATTCGATGTATCATTAATATTTGAATCAATTTTAAAAAGATATTTAGAAAATTTTATAATACCTTCTCCAAAAAATAATAATGTAATAGATGTAATAAATATGACTATGTCTGTACTGATAAAAATTAAACCATACTCTTTCTTGTAAAATATTCCTAAAAAACCAAATATCAATAAAGGGACTACAAATGATCCCATTACCATAAACCACACTATACAAAAATCATTTATTTTCTTTCCCCATTCAATAAATAACATATTACTCCAAGAAATTATAATCAATATCAATGATGAACAATATAAAGTATTCGTGTTTACATTTGGAGCATGTGAAACAGATATAAAAATTATAGGTGGTATTATACCAAAACAAGGACAGACAACAAAATTTATTCAATGTTCTGTTATTTCTGAAAGAAATATTTTTGAAACATACCAAACAGTTATTATTATAGATAAATAGAACAATAAAATAATCAATCCAATAATCGCCCATGTTTTTGTAGTATAATCTATGTTAAAGAAAATATCTTAAATATTATTCGGATCATAAAAACATTCAACTGATGTCGTAAGTAAAAACTTATTCATATAATTATTTATAATATCATCATCTTGATCACTATCAAAAAATTTTGTATTATTAGAAATCTTAAGACCTTGAGGTGTATTGTATTTAACTTCAATGATCATATTATAACAAAATTGGCATGTGATCTGACACCTAAGATCTGAAACCCATGATGTACATTCATAACGTGTATAACATGATGATCCTGATTTTGGACATATCTGTCTAGGGGTTTCTACACAACATTCGTACCCGTCTCCACATATCGAAGTATCATCGAGAGAAGGACATTGATTACCGCAAGTTAAAGGATCAATAGAATTCCATTTATTCTTTAAAGAATCACAACTTGTAACATTTGAAGGTGCGTTTATACATCTGTCTCTGTCACATTTTTTATAACAACAATAAATTGGGATATTCCATTTTCCGATAATGTCACAGCTTGTTCTTGAAAAATTGTTTCTTTGGATTTCTGGATAACCAATACCAAAAAATACACCAATAAATGAAACGAAAAGTATCGCATTCACAAACAATAATCTATTCAACATTTTTAATCTAGTCATCAAATGATAAATATTAATTACTTAAATACGTAATTCAATTACTAATAATATTAGTAATTGATATTAATTATATAATAATTCATAAATCTTGTTTCAGAATTAGTAAAATGTCTATTTTAGAGAATGAATCTCTTAAAAATGAATTACAAAAACTCAAAGATATACATGTAGAAATTAAAAAAATACCTAACAAATCATACGTTCAAGATCAAATATTCAAAGAATTATGTAACATAATTAAATTTGGTACTAAATATATTCGTATAGGTCAGTACGAATACATGTTAAAAATTAATTGGTACAATTCTTCTCTTCAAAATCAATCATATATCAATATTTTACCTGATGAATTATTTCCTGTTATATGTGAATTTTTAAAATAAAATTTTCTTAAATATTTAAAAAGAAAAATTATTTTAATCTTGTGAAACAAATAAATAAAATGTCAATAATTCAAATATATTTAAATTAATAATTAATTATTGTTTTAAAAAAAATTGATTTTAATTAATAATTAAAATTTATTATATAACATTGAATTAAATTAATTTTGGTATTTTATCATAGTAACTAAATATATTTGAAAAAATTAAAAATCATCATAAAATTTGGGATCAGTATAATACAGATCTTAATGGTTATCTTATCTGTAAACTGTGCACAAATAAAATTTATAAACCTCCAATTAATGAAACTGTTTTAAAAAATCATTACATGCAAAAACATCTTACTGTATGGGAAATGATCCGAGGAAGTAGAAAGGGAAGAAGTAAAACCAATAAAGAAGGAAATGATCTTTTAATTCAAATGGATAAAGAGAGAATTTTCTCTGTGGCCGAACGTTTAATTGAAGAATTAGTTAATTCTATGATTTGAGAAACAGAACCTTCTATTCAATATCTTGAATCTTCTAATGATAACGTAAGTGAAATTATTTTAAGAGAAGATAATGAAAAAAATTTTAATTCTCGTGTTCCTCACGTGGATAGTATCGAATTTGAAGGTAAGGAAGAAATTGAAGTTAAAGTTGGTGATATTTGTATTAAAGCCAGTAGAGGTGGTTTTAGAGTTAAATTTAAATAAGTTTTTTTTTTAATTATTTTATTATGTTATAACATGTTATATTAAGATAAATAAGTTTTATTATTAAGGATTGTAATTATGAAATAATTCGTAATATATTTATATAGATATTTAAATTTTTTCCTTTAAAATAGGTTTTTTTATTTTAAACATTTGTATGAATATATTATTTTATTAATAAAATTAAGTAATAATATTAATCAATTAGTAATTACTTATTTATTAATATATTCTTATATTCAATATTATTATTCTCTTTAAAATAAATGGAAAATTCTAAAATTTTATATTTATCTGATGGGAATTTTATTCCGAAATAGAATATTCTCTAAGAAAAAAAATGATTTAAAAATTATTAATTAGATTTCCTTTGTTTTTAAAACAAAGTAGAAAAAATCTATAAAATCCAAATATTTTTTTTTCTTAGAGAATAAGACATTTAAATAATTAATTCATTCATCTCGATTATATATTATCATTATTTAAAATTAAGAATAATAAAGAATGAAATATAATATTCATCCATATTATAATTATGAACTATATTATGATCCATGATTTAACACATATCATCCATATTGCAAATATTTAGTAGAAGCTTCTCAATCTAATTTGTTATTAAAAACAACATTGCAATTTTCTGAAGTAACAAAAAAAAATCGTTATTACATAATATTGGCATGTACTAATTGTAGAAATAAAAAAAGTAAATGTTCGGGTGAAGAACCATGTACAAATTGTAAACGATATAATCGTGAATGCGTATATGTTAAATCAGATAAAAAAAGAGGACCAAAACCTAAGACTAATAATGAATCTATCATTACTCCTGCAATAGCAAATCTATTAAATCCAATAATTTAATTCATCAAATTATTTTTATGCATGAACAATTTTTATCTTGATATTCTAACAATTGTTTCATATTATTTTCTATCATAATCTATATAAAACATTATTTAAAATATTTTTTTTTTTATATTATTTATTTTAATATTATCTATCTGAATATTTGTTGCTAATTATTCATATTTAATTTTGATTAGATATTTGAAAATTAAATATTTATATAAATGTGAAAATTCATTTCATAAATAATTTTTATTTAAGAAAATCAACTTTTACAAATTCTTTAAATGGGTAATTGCGTTGCTTGCATGGTCAAAATACATAATAAAACAGATGTTTATTTATTGAAACCATATAAAAATAAATTTGAATGGGGAAGATTAAAATATGAAACTGAAGGAAATGATGTAATATATCCAAATCAAACATCAATCAAAGCTGTTCAAGGTAGAACTGGTAGTCCATCTGGTGTGAAAGATAGTTTTACCTTTGAAGTTGTGCATCAAGATAATAATATCAAAATAGGTCAAATAGAATTGATTTTTGATGTTCCATATGATACAAATATACATACAAGATCTGTAAATTTTAAGATAACTAATTATAGTAATGTTATCATCAAAATTGATACTGCTGAAAAATGGGGTGGACATGGTAATGGAGAAAGTTTATATAAATTTTTCATAACTTATGAAAATCCAACTGTTTCGATCGAATCAAGATTAAGATCAAAGAAAGGAGATCAATACTATCAAAGATAAAATATCATCTTTACAAATTTTAAAATCATTTTTTTTTTATTAAAAAAATACTACTATCCTTTAAAAAAAAATTATAAATATCATGAATTTTCATATTGTGTTTTTTTTAATCTTTATTTAAAATGTCAAATAAATATTCAAAAAAAAAATCACAATCAAGTAAAAATAATATAACAACTGAAATCAATCAAATTGATATTGATGATGTAGTCAATAATAATACATTAAATGCACATCTATCATTAATGACAAAATTTAAAGCATTAGAACATAAAAATAATGATATTGATAAAATATTTTTATTACATGCTAAAAAAAGATACATATTATGGTTAGAATTATTAAATAATACTGTTTTTAATGATGATGACGATATTCCCATTCCACCAATAGATAATTATAAATTAAATGTAAAAAAAAAATATATAATATTTTAAATACCTATCTATTATTAGATGTATGTCAAATTTGGCACACACATTTACTTTCACCATTGGAATATTTCAAAGATATTAAAAACTTTAATCAAGAATATAAATTTCCCCTTGATAAATTGGTTAGTATTTAAAATATAATTTTTTTTTTTTACATTTTTTAATAAATAAATAAATATTATTAATTTTATAATCTAGTATAAGATTTGGAATGAAAATAATCAAAAACATGTAGATAAATATTCAAAAAAAATATGGGAAGAAAATACAAAGGAACCATGAGTTCTTGATCCGAATGATACTTTTGATTTTGAATTCAGATGCAAAAGTAAGAAAAATATTAACGATATCAAAATTATATCATGCACATAACAAAATACTAATTTCTTCAATGAATTTGATTATTGTTTATTCATATTCGAAAATGGTGAGTTTTTTTTTTTTAATCTATTATTAAATTCAAAAGTTGTAATATTAATATAATTCAGTACGAATAATTTATAGAAGAATGTTCATATTCATCATTATTAACTTCTCTAATTCAAAATATTGTCAAAAACTATTTTGAAGACTCATTACCATTTTCAATAGAACTTGTAAATGCTGTGATTCATCAACGTAGATTCATAGATGATATGGTTTTTAATCAATCTGTTAATGAATATGCAAATCAATCAAAAGCGATTAATCGATATAAAAAATTCCTTATATTAATTAAAAGTAATAGAAAAAATTTAGTTCCAACAAAAGATATAGATCTTTGTTGGCATACACATATGCTCTACGCTCCTCATTATCGTTGTTTTACAAAAAAATACTTGGGTAAAATTATGAATTATGATAATAAAATATCTGAATCAATTCTATCTGAAAACTTTGATGAAACATCTAATATTTGGCGTGAAAAATTCAATGAATCATATGATGATAATACTCCTATTAAAATTCAAAGTAGGAATTGGTATCAATGTGGAGGGGAACATATCCATAATAAAATTTCATTTTTTTTTTTTTCCTTTGACAGTCACGTCATAAACTTTATTAAGTTGTTAACTATGGCCACAGCCAAGTTATATATGATTAAAAAAATCTACCTAATTTCCTAAGCTTGACGTCACCCAGCTGCTACCAGAGTGCTCAGGTGCGACCTGTCGCACTGACCATATGGCCAGAACAATAATAAAATTTCATTTAATATTTCTTATTATAATAAATATCTAAATATAATTTTACACATTTAAAATAAAAGATTATTGGTAATACAAATTACATTATTAATTTATATTTTTTGTTTATGTATAACATAATATTTTTTATGTTAAAAAAAGTGTCTTTTTTATTTTTTAATAAGTTTTTATTATTATGAAAATTTTATAAATTATTTATAAGTTAAAATATTAATTAATTAAAATAATCTATTTTTAATATATTTTTACTAAAATTATTATTTTTTTCGTTCAAATAATAACATGTGATACATATATTATGTAAATGATAACCTGTAATATATTGTAAATCTTCATCATCATAATCGGAAGATTCATTTTTCTTACTACATGATAATATCATACAATTTTTCTCATAAGCTTTCCATACTTTAAAAAAATCAAATTTATAACATAAATCACAGGTAGTCTTTCCGATATCTTTTTTAAATTTGTTTCTTATCTTGTATAAATTATCATCACCTTTTTTAAATTCCTTACAATATACAATACCATGTTTTTTAGTCATTATCTTTCTAAATATTTTTTTTCCTTTATAATTAAAATATACTCTATCATTCTTTGTATATAAATAATTATAATATTCTTGAGATTTCAATGAATAAAATATATCATCCTTTTGAAATTTTATCCTTTTATTCATTCGTTTTTCATGTACAAAACTCATAGCTTTGTTCATGTAAGATATTTGATTTTGCTTCTCCAGACTTAGATATGAAAATATTTCATTTATAACAAATAGTTTATTTCTAACTGTGAAATTGATCTGATGCAATCCTTTATTAACCAATCCTAAAGATAACTGATCACTATAATTTAATAAATTAAATATTATGCAAATCACTTCAGTGGGTAGTGTATCAATCATCTTTAAATTTTATTAAAAAAAAATCAATTAATTATATAACAAAAATAATTAATAATTATGATTAATATTTTTGTTAATTATTTTTTTCAAATATGTAATAAATTATCTATTTCTTTTTTTAATAAATAAATAATTAATGTTGATCAATCACAAGATTGAAATAGTTTATATCTAATCAAAATTATGAAAATATTTCTTTGTTCTTAATTTGGTATCGTTGTTACATAAAATTAAATTTAAATAACAAAAATCTAAGATGATCTTTTTTTTACAATAACAAAAAAAATTTTTCTCAAAGGTTGTTATTATTTCTTTTTCTTAATATTTACTTTAAAAAAAATGATTAGAAATAATTCTAGACAAGTCTTTAGCTTCAACTCTAACTATTTCGATGATAATGTTATCAAGTCACTCATTTAAAACCTTCTCAACCTCTTATCATCACTTAGTTCTCAACTAGTTTAACTAGTTTTTTTGCCGGCTTTTTTTTCGCTTTAGACTTATGATTTTTTTATTTTGTTTTTTTTAATCTATTGTTTTAAAAATATCGAGTTACTAACTATTTTATTATTTTTTTATTATTTATTTACAAGATAGAAATATGTCTAACGTTATTGATGACATCGACTCTATAATCGAACAAAATCATAATCTTCAAAGTTCTCTGATCCAAATACGCAAGAAACTCAATGAAACAAAAGCAAAAATCAAACTAAACTTAAACGAAATTATTGAGAAAACAAAATCACCGATTACTAAAAATGATCAGAATACTTTAGATATTGAAAGATTAAGTATTATCATTAAAGGATGGAAATCTAATCTTTCACTTTATGAAAATGTTAAAAATCTTCATAATGAATTAGAAGAATATAGAGATAAATACTACAAACTTAACACTAAATATAATAATTTAGTTCATAATGAATAATTTTTTTTTTTTAAATTATAATTCAATGTTTTAAATATTTTAAAATGTATAAATATCATGATTATTTTATAAATATACGATATTTTACCACAGAATAAATAATTAAATTTAAATTTAATCATGGAAGAATTTTCAAATTTTTTGATGATATTACATGGTACGAATTTGTATATAGTCAATAATCGAATATTTATTAATCAAGATTATGTTATAGTTACAATATATGCAATTGCATGTCTTTTATTTTTTCCCTT